GGGTGGGCAAGAGCTGCCTGGCTCCATTCCTGGGGAGGCTTCGCTACAGGCTCTGTATAGCCCACAGCTCAGGTAACTGGGTAACCACTGAGATTTTCAGCAGATACAAGGTTACCCTATTGCACAATTTTTAACATCTACAATGGTACTACCATCTTTACTGCTGCAATGCTGGTGATGAGATGCTGCCTTCTAACCTGGGAAGTTGGCCAACACTACAACCACACCTCTCCAGTTGCCCAGCTCTGATGGCAGTGCAGATCTAATGGTGGTAATACTGTGACCCTCCTAAAATAGCCTTGGGATCCCCCTGCAACTCCCTTTTGGGTCAGAACCCCAATCTGAAAAATGCTGTCTCCCTCATGAAATCTGTATGGTATAGGGTAAAAGTACACCATCTGCTACATTTTCATGGCTGAATTTGGTAGGGTCCTACATATGACTAAGGCTATGTCTACACTGTGTTCCTTACAATAGCCCGGCTGTGCTACTACACCTATACTTTCACAGGGCATGCAGCATAGCCACTCTGTCGCTGAGAGAGTGACAAAATAAAACCAACTCCAAGAAGGAACAGTAGCTTCCTTGCTGGGAGCACAGCTCCCACTACTCACAAAAGCACAGTCCACACCAGCACTTTTCATTATTAAAACTTTCGTTAATTAGGTGGTTTTTTTCACAACCACAAGTAACAAAAATTTTAACAATGAAAGTGCCAGTGTAAGACAAAGCATTAGAGTGCCAGGTTTAGGTATGTCTATATTACATGCTTTACCTTAGCCAAAATCTCAGCTATGCATGCCATAATTTCATTTTAGAAGTAAGTAGCATCAAGAGAAATAATTTGATCACATAACCTTCCTTAAAACACCAAACTGTTTACACATGGTCTTAGCCTTGAACAGGCAGAGAAGCAATACTGTAAACACATAAAACAAACATTCTGGAACTAGAGGAAACTACCAGAGAGCTGTCAGCAAATCTCAAGGTTTGTTGATTCACAATTACACCAAAATATAGTGTCTCTGAAGCAGTTCAGATATTTTGGATTCATCATATAAGTTATATAAGCAAAACAGCTAGTGCTATTGTCTTGAGTAATTAACTACCTAGCCATACTGACAAACAGCAGCCATAGAAGATACATTTTCAGGTCTGATTTATTTAAGGAGCACACCCACATGTAGTTTCAATGGGGCGGGGAGTAAATTATGTTCTTTAGTTTGTGTCATTTTGAGGAGGTTTGTAATACACGTTTCAAATACTAGTCTCCTGTTTACAAGTACAGCTTGTAAACAAGAAAAGCTATAAAAGGAGGCTGTCAAAATAAAATATGCAAGTCATCTGACCCTTTTAATCCTACATATTTAATAAAGTAGCTATTCGGTAATAAGTACAACCAATGTAAAAATGTTAAGACAACAAAAAACTAATTGGCACAGCAAGCCGCAGGG